GAGGCATTCATTATAAACAGTCAAGCAAAACTGAAACGGCACTGGGCTCACGAGCCTGTCTCGTACCACAAGAATCCAAATGTTTCCATTTTTGCCATATTTGTAACATTTGTTTGCATACTATTATTCATTATGTAGCCTAAACATGGCTTTATACTTCACTCATGTTCTAATATCCATGTAAAATCCTTCACATGCGCAAAAATGTTTGTTTGGGCGCTGCACGCTGATTTTACAGCGGACCTTTTAAAAAACAGTGTAACTTATGTTTGGTTGACTGCATTTTAGTTTGATGATGAATGGCTGAAATGTCAGGCAATGGTAGAACTAATGTTGTTTGTGTGTGCGTGAGGCGCCTGTGCGATCAGATGGATTAAATCAAATAAAGATATAAAGAAAAGAAATTAAATTTAATAAGAGTGTCACAAAAATGAGCATAGCCTATACTTGTTGCACAGTGTTTTTTTCCCCTTTTGTTAATCTCTTAATTATATTATAGCCTATTATATGCGTGATCCTTTTTTATTTTATTCCTTTTATAGACTTTCTGTTTTTCTCCTTTTACAGAAGCTCTGCAGGTGCATCATGTGACAATTGAATCCTCATGGTCTTATTTATGCTGCTATTTGCACATATAAAGCTAAAGCCCTGTATAAAACCCCAAAAAAGACATTCTAATCTTACTGGTTAACGATCGACTAATGAACTTCGTTTGACGGTCAGGAAAATAAAAATGAACAAAATGCTGTCATTCTACAATTCTCCACCGTATTTACTATGCTGCGCGCAGGTTCAGGTAACTCAAAAACTTGCGTACACGAACCGAGACCAGACGTGAGATTTGATCGTAGCCACAGCTCACGTCCATATTGATAAATTCCAAGTTTTGTGTTAAAGGGGTCATATGATGCGATTTCAAGTTTTCCTTTCTCTTTGGAGTGTTACAAGCTGATTGTGCATAGATAAGATCCCTGAAGTTGCAAAGACTAAAGTCTCAAAACCAAAGAGATATAAGACTCTGCCACGCCCCCCTAAAACGGCTCGTTCTAACACGCCCCCACATATCTACCTCACTATGTGGAAATATTTGCATAATGCCGCCCAAATGTTCACGCAAAGAAAGGCGGCGTGGTTTCAGTAACCGCAGTTAGTGTTGAAGCAGCATGTCAGGGAGACGCTGTGTGATAATGTACAGCATTTAAAAAATAATGTGTTTTTTGAACATTAAAGCATGTCAACATTCTGTTACACCAAATACACAAAATAATGATAATATTTTTTTAAAAAAGCATCATATGACCCCTTTAAAACCAAGCGGCAACCTTCCGGTCTCACTCTGAAACCAACAAGGAAGTGACTAAAACTTAAATTCATCGAAATCAATCCAGCTAGAGGCTGGCTCCAAAAGGGAGTCAGTCCCATAGACTCCCCATGTTAAAATGCCCAACTTTACAGCAGAAAAAAATATGTTTACAGCCTGGTACAAAAACTGGTTTTGGTCTATATAGCTAATTTTGCCCTTCATGACAACTGTGAGGAGGGGTGAATTTTTTTATAACTCGTCCATTTAAATTATACTAAGCCTTAAAGGTCTGCATAATTAAGGGCGTGGCCACTTGAGTGACAGGTGGATTGCCGCTTCGGTCACCACCGTCGAGCTAGGTGGGCGTGGTTTCAGCAACCAGCTCCCGCCTCTTTGCCCATTTTCGATTATCCGGGAGTGGGGCGCTGCCAAGATGGCGACGGCCGGCTCCGCCTACTTTAGGCTTCAAAAACGCTCTTCGGAAACCTACGGGTGACGTCACGGACACTACGTCCATGGTTTTATACAGTCTACGGTTAAAACGACCGTACGCCCAATTTTCTGTCGTACGTTCGTTTCATAAATGAGGCCCAGTATGTTCAGAAGAGACGATTCTCGGTTCAGTGAGTCGAAAACCGCGGGATCGATTCAGTCGAACCTGTTACAGAATCGTTAAGGGGTGCGTTTCCCAAAAGCAACTATGGTCGCAAGTTCCGTCGTTACCAACAGATTTCAATGGAACTAACTACAATAGTTAGCTAACGATGCTTTTGGGAAACGCACCCCAGAGCGATTACTGAACGAATGTTGTTCAGAGAAAAGATCCGACCCAAACGAGCGAAACGGACATATATAGCGGATCAATTTGTTTATTTTTCTAACGTTACTCTATTTGCTTGGCTACCAGCTATTTTTCATTACATCATAATTTAGTTACTTGTTAAGGGTTACTCAATACACTGTCTTTGGAGAAAGTTTGAATACATAATGTTTACGGAGTAGAGAATTACTACTAAAATACCAAGCACACTGCGTTACATAAACGCCACGATAAAACTCCACACACATCACACAAACAATGATCCTTCATAAGTCTCAGTCACACTGACATGATCAGTGATTCATGGTAGAAAACAACTTCTTAACCGTGTATGGTGCTGTTACAACGACGGTGTCTCAAAACCTGGTGACCTGCCTACCTATATAGCATTTCAGAACAGAATATAATGCTCGAAAGCTCTCCAAAATGCTGTCTAGATAGTTAGCTCACCGAGGTTTGAGTGCTACTGAAGCTGTCATGCACACCGAGCTCCGCAGAGAGGCCGCACTCACTGGACCACAATCAGCTACAGCTTACTGAACAACAGCGTGTCTGTCCGTTACCTCCCGCTCCTGGAGCTACAATACTTACGCTGCGCCGCGGAAAAAGCTGCGTGCGCCAAAGCGAAAAGGCCCACACCGACAACACCTTTCCAGAAGGACGAGGCCATTTTCACTCGAGCACAACCGATCTAGCCACTGCTGAAGCGCGTGAAGCACACTTCAATGAACGCTGCGTCACCACCGCCGCACTAATCGCACTTCCGGTTGCCAACTGCCACTTTAAACATGCATTTAAAGAGACATAGCGAATATCAGAATATAACACTATCTTGTTGTGCCTTTTTTATGATTCCCCTTTAAAATGACTACATTGTATTAATTGATCTATTTATTAATTTGCTTAATTTTCGATTATTATTATTATTATATATTTTCTTTCTTTTACATTTTTACTTTCGTGTTTATTTATTTATTTTTATTCAATGCTCTGAACAACAACACAGAAAGGCATTCATAACTGGGAGATTTACATATTACGACTGAGATTACACTCAATTTTCATTCACACTGTACACCATATCACAAAATAAATTTACAATAAAATTAAATAAAAATATTGGGGAGAAAAAAATATAGAGACAAAGAAAAAGTAGGGGAGTAGGAGGCTCTATGAAACCAAAAGTATACAAATACCATGCTTTGGGACTTTTCATCCCTCTTAACGTCTCCATATTACAAATTCCTCTTTAAAAAAACACTCATCGTGGGGGAGTTTTGAAAAATTTACATTTATGAATGCAAAATTTCAGCAAAAGTAACAAATTATTTATTACATAAGATATCTTTTTATCCTGAAAGAACAAACCAAACTACTGTAAATGTAAAATGTACATTTACAAGCGAATGTAAAAGAACAGAAACATATTTACAGAAATAATGTGAACAGTGAGGTGAATTTTAGCACAAAAGTCTCCACAATAAAATATTCAATTAATTTGAACAAAAATCTATCTATCTATCTATCTATCTATCTATCTATCTATCTATCTATCTATCTATCTATCTATCTCTCTATCTATCTATCTATCTATCTATCTATCTATCTATCTATCTATCTGTCTATCTATCTATCTCTCTATCTCTCTATCTCTCTATCTCTCTATCTATCTATCTATCTCTCTATCTCTCTATCTATCTATCTCTCTATCTCTCTATCTCTCTATCTATCTATCTATCTATCTCTCTATCTCTCTATCTATCTATCTATCTATCTCTCTATCTATCTATCTATCTATCTATCTATCTATCTGTCTGTATGACTATCTATCTGTATGACTATGGAGGACGAAACCTGCAAAAACAATAAATAAATACACAAATAAATAAATGTGTGCATAAATACACGTATTCTTGTTTAAATACATAAATAAATAATTATACATGTGATGAAAGTAGGCAAATAAATAATATAAATTGGTGGGCAAATGGAAAATGTTTAAGGAAATGCTAAACTCATCCTAACTATTTTCCTTTGATCACTCATTTATTTCTGAATGTAGTTCCACATTTTTTTTTTCCTCTGCGCAACATGCTAATGAGAGGGTGTCAATTATGCAAGAGTAGGCGGATCGTAAACATACTTTTGTCGCCTGTATTTCTGTTCTGATATCTAATGGGAAAAAACTGTCTGTTCCTCGATTAAAGCACTTCATACCAGTCATCTCACGATGACCAAGTCCATGGTTGACACCCTCTCATTAGCATGTTGTGCAGAGGAAAAATAAATGTGGAACTACATTCAGAAATAAATGAGTGATCAAAGGAAAATAAATAGGATGAGTTTAGCATTTCCTTAAACATTTTCCATTTGTCCACCAATTTATTTGATTTATTTGCCTACTTTAATCACATGTTTAATTATTTCTATATGTATTTAAACAAGAATTTGTGTATTTATACAGACGTTGATTGATTTATTTGCATATTTATTTATTTATTGTTTTTGCAGGTTTGGTCCTCCATACATGACTACTGCTGAACAGGAAATCAACTATATAATGTAACGATGAAATACTGGCTGTTTTTAAATATATCTGTGACAAATACATCACAAATGTTCTCCCTCACTAACACCTGAATTTGACCTGTTTCAGACAGTTTAGAAAAATGTGGAGTGAAATATGAGGGTTTTACAGCAAAACAACAACACAACAAGTGAGTGCGTGGGGATTTGAACTTGTCATGATAAAAGATTAATTACATCATAATATTACTTAATAATAGGCTATATATGCCAATGTTCGACAAAGAGGATGCAGAATAAATGCACACATCGACAGTTATGCGCAGCGCCGGCCCGTCATGAGCTGCACGAACACGCGCGTGGTCACGTGACGTCACGCGCAGTGGGCGGGGCGTCGCTGGGAATCAGGAACAATCTGCTAATGCTCCTGCCTGTGTTCAGCGATCCCGAGCATATGCATTCCTCTTCTTATATCTTTCCACCTAAAAGAAATGCCAGCATGGACTCTACATGTAAGATCAACGCCGCGATGAGTATTTGGAGAAGACTGTCTCTGTTTGTTTTGGCGAGCTCCCTCTGCTTGTGCCTGTGCCGAGCTGAAGACAGTGCGATGGAGAACATCGTGACAGAGAAGAAAGCTGAAGAAAGCCACAGACAAGACAGTGCCGACCTGCTGGTCTTTATCCTGCTCCTCACCCTGACAATCTTGACCATATGGTTGTTCAAACACCGCCGCTGCAGGTTTCTGCACGAGACGGGGCTGGCTATGATATATGGTGAGGATAGGCGTGATCAGAGATCATTTGCCTCTGTGATCGCACATATGAACTGTGTAGTCAGCTGCATGCTTATCGCAGTAAAGTTACAAATGCATGGGATCTGTTAATGAAAGTACGCCATGCATGATCATGACTGTTGAAAGGCCAGTGTGGGAGAACAGGGCCTGTCCAGCAGGAGTTCATCTGCCTCACTGCTTCTCCTGCACGTGCTGGGCTGTTTCAAAACACAGACAAGATTTTAAAAGCTTTGCTGTTGTTGTCATCTCTCTTTTAAGGCCTTAAGTTAAGGAAACCCTTTTTAATTGTAACGGGATTTATACTGAGTTTTCTTAACTTAAGAGTTATTTGCAATTAGTTACAACTGAAAATACTCGTGTCTATGAAGCATATCTCAGTTAGGTTATTCAGGAGCTCATGTACACAAGTGTTATTGTACTATTTTTTTTTATATGTATATTGTTTATATATTGTAGTTTTATTTATATTTGAGTGAAATTTATTTATTTATTGCTTATGTTTTTTAAAATAATTTTTCTAGTTTTTTTCTTCAATATTACTATTTTGGTTTGATTTATTTTTACTTGAGAATTATTTTTATTCCAGGGTTTTTATTCATTTTCAGTTAGTAATTTTAGTGCATAAATTTAAACCGTTTCTAATTTTCCTTTACATTTTTTTTAATCTAATATTTTTTTTATTTTATGTTATTGCAGCTTTATTTCAGTTAACAAAAAGTATATTATCAGCTAATAAAAGTAGAGTGGGGGTTCAATCTTCAACTGGCTGGCAGGAGCTGCCACTGACAGGTCATGTGACCTGCCAGTGGCTGGTGGCAGCTGCCAGTCTGATTCTGGCAGCTGCCAGTCTCCATATTACAAATTCCTCTTTAAAAAACACTCATCGTGGGGGAGTTTTGAAAAATTTACATTTATGAATGCAAAATTTCAGCAAAAGTAACAAATTATTTATTACATAAGATATCTTTTTATCCTGAAAGAACAAACCAAACTACTGTAAATGTAAAATTTACATTTACAAGCGAATGTAAAAGAACAGAAACATATTTACAGAAATAATGTGAACAGTGAGGTGAATTTTAGCACAAAAGTCTCCACAATAAAATATTAAATTAATTTGAACAAAAATCTATCTATCTATCAGTCTGATTCTGGCAGCTGCCAGTGGCTGGTGGCAGCTGCC